GTCACTTTTAGGTGTCAGTTCATCACAGTGTAGTTGAAACATTATGTTTTTCATGGTGAGTATTTTCTCTCTAACACTGCCCTCCATCTTCCTTCTTGTAGCCAAAATCAACGAGACAGACACCTTCGGGCCTGGAGACGATGATGAGATCCAGTTCGATGACATTGGCGACGATGATGAGGACATTGATGATGTAAGCTCCTCTCAGTTTACATTTAACTTTTCCTGGGTATCATTTTTTTTCAGTGTATTCTTTCCTTTTGCATACTTTTCCAAACTGTTATGACAAAAGAAACCAAAGTCCTGAAATACTAAATGATGTCGAAATTTCGGCCTCAATAAACTGCAGTCTAACATTCACAGAGGGATGATTTAAATCAGTTCCACCTGATGAAAGAATTAGTCTTAAGACTTTTTTTAATGCTGAGAGAGCACTGGGATTTCATATCCAGCCTTACCTGTGAGTCTTTAGTTCTTCATACTTGGTTGAATAGATGTGGGAAAGGTTCAAATATCTTCTATCTGTAGCTCAAACAATTAGTTGATCAGTCTTTTAGTCAGTCAACAAATATTCATTGTCAGCTATGTTGTTTTTTTGCTGGTTTCAGTCTCTCCAATGTGAATATTTCTCTACACAGACCACATTATTAACATTTATTGACTGTTAAGAACTTAAACTTCCAATTAATTGATGACGTGCAGCCTGGCTTGGGTTAACTTCACAGTTGAACCAATACTGGTAGCATTTTCTGCTCCTTTCTCTCTGAAAAATACCAAAAATGTAATTTAGAACATACTGCCTCCAGCCTGTCAGCCAGTCACCAGGGCATAGCCTCAGAACGCTGTCATGTTTGCCTTAAAGGAAGTGTAGTTAATTGGAGTATTACGAGTAAAGTAGTAGTGTTTTATATTGGGCATTAACCTGGCATTTACATGCATAATGATGAAAAAAATAGACTTGAGGTGTAAATGCTTCAGGTTGCAGTTAAGCCCATGAGACGCAGCTGAGACACAAACCTGCACAGAGCCGGTGCAGACAACTGCATAGATTCAAATAAGAACCTGCGGTCAGACACAGGACTTGTTGCCCTGGACAGGTTTGCAGTTTGCATTACAAATATTGCAGCAAGCCTTGTCCGTGTCCAATTTTGAAAAATGTAACAATAGTTGCAACCGCTTTTGGCTCACCATTGCCTTGACTGTGTGACTTGAACAAGCTGAAAATGTGACATTGTTCTGCTCTGTCTCTTTCTAAGTTACTCTTACCCAGATTATCTCTCAGGTATCGAAATTTGGCACCAATTGATTCAATGTGATTTGGTATTCAGTAGTATCAGTGTTATTCAGTTGGTACCCATGACAGTGCTGAGTTAGGTACCCAACTCTACTTGCAGCCCTTCTCCTAACACAATTAAAGCTGAATAACTGTCCTCAGAGGTCTAAACTGAATGCAGAAACTCTTGCTCGTGCTCTTACTTTAGAGCACAAAAGAACATTTTTAAAGTGCAGCACAAAAGTTGAAATAAATCTGTTTTCTCTCTCTTTCCAGATCTAAAGTCCTGCCACTGGACAGAGAAGGTGGGATTTTCCTAGAGATGCTCCGATTGGGATATTTTCAGCCGATACACGCACCGATAATGATTATTTTTATTAAGATCAGCCTATGCCAATCCAATACAGTTTATTAATATACAGTATGTTTCAATTTATTCCAGTTTGTTAACCATCAGTAGACGTCTCTGTTGTTTTTTGAGAACTTAAAGTGCATTTCACATAAGGGGGGGAAAAACGACACCAGTACTCTTAGTTAATTGTTGACATAAATGAATTTGAGATGCTGCTTTAGTGTGACTGTCTGAGTTATCAGTCGTAGAACTGGAGGGCAATGCAGCAGGCTGCCTGGTGACTGAATGATAACACAGTCAGTTTGCCTTCATGCAGCTGGATTGGAGAATCAGGAGTAGGCTGATCACCAGCATCATATTTAGGTTGAATATCTGGAGCATTTCTAGATTTTCACCTTTTTGCTTCTAACGTCAACAAAATGGCAAATTTGCCATCACCGAGGTTTTCATTACTCTTTTTATTTTTATTTTTTCCATATTATCCAAGAAACACTCACTGGCTATATAGGGGAGGCTCAGGCCAATACCATGACTGCAAAATATCTCATGCGTCATCCTTTTAAAAATGTATTTATATTGATTTCACACTATGTGGAATTAGCAACAAGTACAGAATCTCTGGATTCGTCAATAAAAAAGATAAACCAGTTTGTCTTTTTCTTTTGGCAGTCTGTATCATTGTAGCCTGTAAGACAGTTCATACACTTTTAGACAGTTTGAAAGCTGTTTATCGAGGACCGAACAAAGATAATAACACTTGGCTCTGTATCTTTTTGTTGACGTCATATTCCACTGACATCAATGGTATTACAGTGAACTATTTGCTTGTTTTGGATTGAACCATGGCCCGAATGAAGGTGATCCCTCTCCCCTGACATCGAAAAGAAGAATCGAAATGTATTTTTCTATTGTTTCCCTTATTTGTGTTTTCTGTCTGTTTGTGTTTCCATGTTCTTCGCTGCTCGTTCTGTGGCTTCAACACACTGTCACAGTCTCTCTAGACCAGCGGTTCCCAAACCTTTCCACCACTGACACACACACACACCAATAAAACCTCAGATTAGAGCTGTAACTCTTTCACGTTCTGTGAACCTCTATAGAAAATCAAATAACAGATATACAGAAGTTTATTTCCTTCTTCAGCCCCCTCTGGAAACTGCCCCATGTTCCCTGAGGGGGGCCAGCACCTCAGTTTGGGAGCCACTGCTCTGGACCTCGTGGGGCCTGTTGTTGTTGTTGCTGTAACTCTGAATTAATAAAAAAAATGTACTATGATGTTTGAAGGCTGGGTTTCCAATAAAGATCTTAACTCCACTGACCTGGCATAGTGATTTTTGGAGTGCTACACGCACTTCCTGTGCCGGTCTGAAGGTGGCGAGATTGAGCTGAGGTACAAGGAGGTCTCTGATGAAACAGCTACATGCCCTTCAGAGAAACATCCAAGGCTGCTGGGTGTTGACAGTGCACAATATGTCTGTCCTGATACTATTTCTGTCATTAGAGGGAAGACTGAAAAAACTTTACTGGCTGATGTGTCTTTGAGCAAAGTGCTGAATCCCCTCTGGCTCCAGAGTGACTGCTTTACAGCTGAGTGTTATCCCTGACCTGTCTGTTTCTGTGTGCTGTGACTTTATCTTCTCCTATAATGGCATGAGAATTACGTTTTAGATCATATGTCATCTAGTTTTCTTCACCAAAACATGCTCCTTTTTTCTTGATTCTCCCATCACATGAGATGTTCAAAGTTTTTGGCAAGTTCTTATGCCCAATTGGGGAAATGAAGTTGAGTTTACGTTAAAAACTGCACATCAGTTTTGTCTGAGATTGGTGGTAAAATGCCAAGTGTTGATATTAATTGTTATCAAAACCACCCCATTTTAGTGTTCAAAGTTAAGAGAAGCAAATTAAGGGGTACTACGCCCATTTTCAAAATTCATGTGTTATTTTAATGGTGTAAGACAGTCCAAAAATATTAGTAAAAATGAACAACTCCCTTCCAAACCCAAAAACTAGAGTGTTAAAACCCAAATGTGTGATGTCATATGGTATAAAGTCTGGAGCTGCTCCACAGACAGTGAATGGTGAAAGATGTTCTAGCACCCAGGGGAATGTTCTGAGTATATGGGTACATTATCTGTTTCAGAGCCGAGAACACTACAATGGAAAAAAGCTCATTTGGGTAAAAAAAAAAAAAAAAAATTCTGTGGATCCACAAAATCAGTCTCCAATTCATAGTTTATGGAGCAGCTCCAGACTTTATACCCTGTGACATCATAAGTCTGACACTTCATTCTCTGGTTAGCTACTGGCTGAACAGAAGCAGCTCAAGTTCACAAATATTGATTGAACTATACCAGTCCATGGAAAAATCATTGGTATTCTTAACTTATATGTTCCCCTTTGACTCATGCATAGTTTTGAATGTTTGGTTTGTAAAACTTGTGAGAAATTCTGTCAATTACCCAGAGCCCAAAGTGACACCTTCCCATTTTTTTGTCCATCCAAGCGGACTAAAAAATATATTTATTTATTATTAAGAATGTAATTATTGAAATAAAAAGAAGAAGCGGCAAATCTTCACATTAGAAAAACTGGAACAACGAATGGTTTTGCAAGCATGAAAAATGATCAATCAATATGGTTGCCATATAATTTCCTCTCAACTGACTGATTAATCAACTAGTCATTTCAGCTGTACTTGTACCATTGGGCAGTTTCATTTATAGCATTCTGGACGTGACGTGACGCGTGTGTGTGTGTGTGTGTGTGTGTGTGTGTGTGTGTGTGTGTGACCCACATATTGCAGGTCAGCAGCAGCCTGCCTCCTTTCGCTACAAGTATGACGTAACTCCGCCGCTGGGGCTCGCTTGTGCCTGGCACGTGCGCTCTGACACGAGCCAAAGCAGCGACGCCAAATGAAGGCACGTGAGTGAGGGTGAAAGAGAGGGGGGATTCATTGTGGCTCAAAATGACAATAAAACACCTTTTAATAAAAACACAAGAAATATAAAGATTTGAAAGGCTGTTTTAACCGTAATTTCACTCAAACTGCTGGTTTTATTCCTCTGCCAAGCGTTATAGTTCTTGAGCAGCTGGTTACTAAGCGACGCGGAACAGCGTGAGTAGTGATTTTTTTTGGCGCATTAATATGTAAATTAGCCAACTGTGAAGCGGTCACAAAAAATGGACCGGACTACGACGAAACTTAAAAGATTAGAGAAATTAATTTTTAATTAATTCTCCACAAGTAAATAACTAAAAAAACAGAGACATTTCCACCTCCATATTAATAATATTTCTTTATTTCCCGGAATGTGTTTTTTAAGGTAGGAGGAAAGTAGACCCAAACATTTCTTTTTCTACCATTGATTGAACCTTTACATACTGACCCAACAATGGCAGTTATAACGATACTGTTTTAAATGCGCTTTGTGCAAAAAAAATAATCGCTACACCATCTCAGTAGACATCCATGCTAGCTCTGAGGCATATGGTTCCCCTCCCCTCGCCGTCTCTCTACCATCGGCTCCCGACTCCGAGCATCCGTCTTTTCCCTGAGTCACTGTGTAGCCCCAGCGGTCTCCTGTGTGGGTTTCAGCGGCTCTCTGGCTCCTGTCAGGTCCTTCTGATGAAAATAGTCGACGACGTTTGAAATGACTGAAGTGGCTCCAGGCTACCCCGACATGACAGGTGAGGAAAATATGCTCTCATTTAACCATGGCATTTAGTTTATTCACATTAAATGTGTAGGAATGGGCGTTGTAATGAAACTGCACACAGATACAGTTTGAAAGAAGATGGCTAAGCCCTAGCTGACAAAATCCATCGGCAATTATTTTTCAAGCAAAAAATGCCAAAAATGTGACATTTCCAGGTTCTCAAATGTGAGGAATTGCAGCTTTCCTTGGTCTCGCATTTTATTCAATTTAATACTTCTAGATTTGGAAATCAGGACAGAACAAGACATTTGATGAAGTCCCTTTAGGCTCTGGGATATTTATCGATGATTAATCGAAAAAAATATATCAACAGACAAATTGGTAACAAACATAACAAACAGCCCTACCAATTTGAACATGACTGAAATAATTTAGATTTACAGGCAGGCTCCTTAATGTCATGCTACTCTTAGTAAGCTACTTGATATTTTATATTTTAAAGAATAATGTCACAACTAAGATGGGAACGGTAATGCAATTGGACCTATATTTACCATTTATGAAGATCATTATTAACATATTTGCAAATTAGGTTTTTAACTATTTGCATCAGTCATTGTTACTGCAGTACATCCATTTCAGCATGTGTGCATACCAGTATGTAGCCTTTATATTGCAGTGTTGGATTACACATATTTAAATCTGTGCTATGCCTACATGCCAGCTATAACTATATACAGTAGCTTCTCTGAATAATGTAAAAATAAGGGATGTCTGGTGAGTAAATTTCACAATATGTAGTATAGTCTTTGTGAAGATATGTTGACATTTCAAAATGTACATTATCTGACAATTTTATCTTATTATTTAAACCACTACATCTGTTTAGTGAATAACTGCTAAATGTTCTTGGGGATGTTCCCTAAATCAGCCATGTTCCTTTATTAATGCAGCAGCTTCTTGTCAGCTTCATTTGTCACATACCTCAAGTGAAATCAGCTAACACTGCCTTTAAAAAACATGTGATTCAGCTGGTTTATTTTTTGCATGTGATGTAATTTCCACTGAGGATGAATCACTTGGGACTTATCTCAGATTTGCATATATTTGCATATCTAATGTGTGTGTGTGTGTGTGTGTGTGTGTGTGTGTGTGTGTTGAGAGGACGTTTTCAGTTGTCCTCTGTGTGTTTGTGTGTGTGCACAGACATTTTCATGACTGCTTTAGAAATAAAAACACAACAGGACAAAGGCTGAGGGGTACACTCAGGGGTCCTGCATTGACAGCTCACACTGACACCTGACCCCAAAGGCGATACAGTGACTGACAGGAGATTTATTGCTTTGGACGCCATGACAAATATGTGTGACTGCTTAGTATTGGAGTCTCTTCCATATTGGCAGAAGCAGGACTCACGTTCGCCACTCCAGCTTTACATTTTTAGCATTATTTGCCTCTTGGGCAGCATAGTATGAATCATGTCTGACTGATCTCTCCAAAAACACAGCGCTGGCCCCTCCTCCTGCACCACTGATCACCAGTAGGAATGCATCTCCTGCTCGATCACCATCCAAACCCAGCAGCCCTTCAGGTAAACTTCTAATCACGTTACTCCCTTTGATTTGCTTCCATTATCTTCAAAATCAAGATGGAGAAAACACAGACGTAATGGCAGCGCTGAACATGCATGTAGTGTTTAATTTACATCTGGGTCCAACTCTAATTATCCTGTCATATATTCATGATCTTTAAATCTTTCTGTGTTTTGTCACAATGTTTTAATAATATGTTTTATACTCTGGAGTTGTGACATATTAGCTTTATTTTTTATGGTTGGAATGTCAGCTTAATTTGAACTTAAACTGGTCTGACATCAAATTCACACACATATAAAAGAATATGATACAAAATGAAAGCATTAAGCATATGTACAACCTGCAGGCAGCTGAAATCATCTATTAATTTTCCATTCTCCTGTCTTAAGGCTCCCAGCTGCATTTAGCAAAAGAGCAACGGGAGGATGGAGAGAAGACCCAAGGTATGAGTAACTCTCCAGCTGGTGGAGCTCTGTGTGGTCTGTACTGTTCATCTGTCACTGCCACACACACACACACACACACACACTGTGGGTGGCTGTGCACTGGCTTGCGGAGGAGGAAGTATTCAGATCCTTTACACTGGTGAAAATGTTAATTCCTTTGTGAAAAAATATTGCTAGTTATTTAAATATTTACTGAAGAATATATACAGTAAAATAAACTCAAGTATATAAAGTAAAACTATTCTATTGAAAACTTTGGATCTTTTCAATTGTGAAAACATTCTCTACTCAAAGTCCACCGACTTGCTTGTTCTGCAGCCTTCAGCTGTTTAACAAGGTCGTCCTTGATGTGTTGAGTTGCCATGAAAATGCAGATGTTTCCACAATTCTGAAAACCTCTCCATTGACATTTACAACTCCATGGCAGATGAGGACCTTGTGAAATGGTCAAAAGGTCTGGACCAAGCGAGCAAGTGGACTGTCAACTGCTGTTCTCAAAAAGTATTAGTGTTTCTGATTTTCAGGCTTTCAGATCACGTAAAGAAGGAAAGCAAGGACAGAAGAAAGACAGAAAGAAAGAAAGAAAGAAAGAAAAGAAATTTCCTCTTCTCCTTTTTCCACATCTTGAATAAAAGGGCTGAAAGTCTGGCTTACATTGTTGCTTATGTTTCAGCCTGCATGACCCTCATGTCATTTTACATACATACACACGCTCTGTGCACATGCTTCACCACACATAGGCACATAGATATATTTATATATACAGACACATAGCATTGGGACCTCCTAAAAACTATGTTTTAAAATGTGTTTTGAATGGATACTCATGTAGATGATCATATCACTACTGGAAGTAAACTACAGAGCCTTGACAGCAAAAACCTGATTTATGTCATATTGCATCTGCAACTACCCCGAGGCTCCTGTCTGTCAACTGGTTTGTGCTAATTTAATTGAAAATTTCCTCAGGAATATGCACCAGTAAAACATGATATTGACATGATAATGGCCATAAGGTGGGTCCTGCTAAACATGCTATCTTAGAATGGAAACAGATAACTTTTCAACACTGCTGCTATTGCACAGACAATTGGATCACTTTCTGTTTCCCTGTGAGCCTAGCAGCCTGACTACGTCCAAAGCAAAAAACAACAATAAGTATCCCAATTTTAACTAGAAATCCAGTGCTATGATAAAGTAAAACACCTGGTAGAACTGATAAGTGGGCAGGTTTTGTTCCTTACTGATCTAGTAGAAAAAATGACATCTGACTGTTAGTTTGAACCCTCTCAAGTCTAGGAGCTCTCGCCATCGAATGACTGCCGGTCTGAGGTTCACTCTTGTTTTATTTCAGTTTTATCTTCCTCCCTTTTGCTTTTTTGCCTCCTTCATCAGCAGGGCTCTTATGCTTTTTCTGGGTAGACCTTCCACAGTTACAAAATGCTCTGTGTGAATTTAAGTTCCCTCTGGTAGGCAGGGATGTACTGTAAGGCTTTTATTGTGAAAGGTTAGAACGGAAGGAGTGAAACAGTAATGTGCTGCCGTTTGCAGGGTGGGAGGCAGAGAAGAGTTTTCCATCTTTGTTCAGACTACGGAGCCTCAGTGTAATGATTTTATTACCTTCATAAGCATAGGAGCAACTCATTATCCTCGGTTACACTATCAATGTAAATTACCTGGGAAAACAAAAAAGCTAGCCTCTTTCTGTTTTGGTCCAAAATGATTGACACACTTCCCTGCTGTAAATCAAGCCTTCATTTTCCCAGGAGATCGTACTTGGTGGCAACAGAATTGCATAGTGACAGCAATGTTTATAGAGAACCAATCTAATCACAGATGCTGTCAATATACTATAGTCAATATGTTGTGCAATCAGCATTTACTTCATAATGATAAGTTAAAGCAAAACACCTGGCCATTTTTCACTTTAATACCCTGATTTGTGTCAGTATCTACTTTTAAGACCTTTGATATTTCAGCTTTGTGGCACATCAGCTAATTTTTGCCCAATCCAGCCATATAGTCACGTAACAAGTATGATATTTCCCTCTGAAATTAAGTATAGAAAAAAAATGAAAATACTTCAAAAGAGTACCAGTGCCTCAAAAAAATACTAATAGTGTTTTAGTAAATGGACTTACTTCCCTCCTCTGGTGTGTTCAGAGATTTCAGAATTGCTGCGTGATAAGGAGCGTCGTGTGCAGCAGCAACTGGATCGCTGCGCCGAGGAGCGAGGGAGGAAATTGGAGCAGCAGAGGAGGAAGGAGCGCCAGCGCCAGGCGGCAGCTGTGGAGAAAAGAAGGCAGCAGCAAGAGGCAGAGAAGGTCAGAGGTTACAGCACACTAATATTGCACTCACTACATGTTAGAAGAAGAGAGAAAACAGTATCACATCTTGTTTATCAGGCTCTGACAGCCACTGATACTGAAACTGTAATGTTACAGTTTAATATTCAAAGTGTAGAGTCAAGAAGCTTTTTGGTTGGTTTTACAGACACTGTTCGACCCAAACCCTAAACAAAACAGCTGTACAGGACGTTATATTAGTGTAATGAAATATTTATCCAAGAATCAATAAACCAAAAACAATAAACAAGTGCCATAACTTGAATAGAAAGCTGAAGCATATGCAGTCCAGACTTGTTTCTAAATTAAAACAAGACTAAAAATCTGACCAAAGATTGCGTGGCACTTTCATTGACTTAACAGAATTAGTACTCAAAATATATATTGAGATTTAATAGCCCTGTTTGCAAATTCAGTTCCACCTGTTTTTTCTTGCTAAATTTGTAATTTAATTGATTATGTGAGACTGAGTATAACTGAGAATTTATCTGTTTACCTACGATTCTGACATCTGTTTGATATCTTGTTTGTTGCCTTTGCTGGCATAGATCAATGTAACAATCATAACAATATTAATGCAAATGTTTTTCAGCTATTAATANAGCAAAGGGTGGCTATTTTGAAGAAACTAGAATATAAAACATGTTTTCAGTTATTTCACCTTTTTTTGTTAAGTACATAACTCCACATGTGTTCATTCATAGTTTTGATGCCTTCAGTGAGAATCTACTATGTAAATAGTCATGAAAATAAAGAAAACGCATTGAATGAGAAGGTGTGTCCAAACTTTTGGCCTGTACTGTATATATATCACAAATGGATAAATGTTTGCAAAATCACATGTGAAATCTTCAGATTGATGTCTGTCATGTTATTATGCATTCAACAAAAACAACCTTAAATCAAAATGTTAAACTAATAAAGAAAAACAAAAAACAAAACAAGTTTGAAAAATGATATGATAGGTAGATAAACAGTACTGAACTATCACCTCAAGCCCAAGCAGCCAGTCACTAGAAGAAAATGTTGGCATTGTACGTTTCTGCAAACCAAGGATACGTTACATATGCAAGTTTCATACGTAGAGTTTCTAAAATGACATGGTAAATGAGCTGACTTTGTCATCACAAAGTGGAGGGGATGGTGGATGATGTAGTCACCTAGGCAAGATGCCTGCCAAGTTACAGACCCCTGTTTGAGACCAACAAACACAAAACTGGTTGTGTTTTAGCGAGTCTTTGCTATGTTTCCAGTGGCTTTTTTCACACCAAACATGGGTGATTTTTTTATCAACACATTGCTGTTTCCTGCTGGGATTGTGTCACCTAAATCAGGTATCTTTCCCTAACCATAACCAACTGGTTTTTGTGCCATAATCTAACCTCATGTTAACCACAGCATTACGTTTCAGCACATCACATTTTGAGAGAGGTACAAGCCAACATTTTTTCTGGCGATTGGGTTGGCCTAAGTTGGCAATTCATATAATCAAAACAGACATGACAGTAGACATGCAGCATAACTCACCTCTAAACAGGGAACAAAATCCACACCGTCCACCAGCTAAATGCTGGTAAAATATGCAAGTGGCTGGTAGATTTATTTAAGATAAGATAAGATAAGATAAGATAAGATAAGATAAACTTTATTGTCCTCAGCGGGAAATTTGTTTTGGGCACATACAGTAGTGCAACATAGCTGCATAGCAGTTACACCCATCATATACAAACAAGACACACAGAAGACGATCATGTAGTACACGAGGCGCAGATTTGAATAACATAATAGTGCAATTAGGACTACTGGATGAAATAAAGTCACCATAAAATCATTAAGTCACTTAAGTCACAAGCCAAAATAACAATGATAAAATTCACTAGCCATTTGTCCTGTGGACAAAAAATTTAATTTTGCACCCTGTACGCTTCGGCCTCATGTTACCTCTCCATCCTTTTGTCCTGCCATTACTCTGTTGTTCACATTCACAAGCTTAAACTGAGAAACTGGATCACAGATTTAAACATTTTTTTCCAGCAGTGATCGCTCTGTTTTTGTTTTTTCTCTCTCCATCTGAGCTCTCTCCTTAAATTAATTGTGTCGATCCATAACAGAGTCAGTGTATTTCCAGCTGTTGTTGGGCTGAACCAGAGTTTAAGGGAATAGCAAGTAATTAATGCAGGAGCTCTAATGACTTTCTGTCAGCCAACCAATTGTGTGCATTCAACTGTAACATGAAAAGTTTGGCTGGTTTTCTGCAGCAGACTTAAAGCCACAGTACATACACACTACATTTACCCCTCCAACATCCTGCCCAATCCTTGCTGCCACAACACAAAAATACTATGGAATATCACAAAATATATCTTAAGATATACTGTGCCTAGGGTTGCAAGTTCTGGGAAAATTCAAGGTGGGCACTATCCATGGGAATTAACGAGAATTTATTGCAACTTTACTAAACCCACCAGAGGCAATTTATTTAAACAGCTTGCCTAACACACATTATATATCATACAGTAACATATAGACACATAAATAGATGAGTAATAAATAAAGATAATAAAGTTTTTTTTTTAAATGCCATGCAGTGTTCAGTGAAATAAAAAAATCTATAACTAATAAGAAGTTAATCTGGCTTCACAATAACTGCAGTGTTTACATCAAATTTAAGATGTTCACCAAAAAAAGGTATCTAAATATTTGTATGAGGTAACCCTTTTCAGAGTTTGATTGTGAATAATGCTTTTTTTAGCTGTGTCTGTGTTATGTCTAAAATCAGTAGTCAACTCCTTATTTTTAGATACATTTAAGTCTAAGAAATGTAAAACAGACAAGGAGGTCTTATAAAGATTACTCCTCATTTCAGCTTTCTGAATCAGCCTTTCCTCGTCCATAGACGTGCTTTCACAACAAGGGACAGAAATAAATACAAACAGGGCGTGCGATAAAAGTTCAGTTCAAAATTATGCCTGCAGCCAGTTAGGACACCTCTTTTGTCAGCTTCAGATTCAAAATGTATTCATCTTGGCGCAGTTTTCTTGAGACTAACACAGACACTAGTGGCTCTGTTAGTCTGTTTATAAACATAATATTATGTTAATCATGTTGTCATATTGCTTATTATTAATGCAGTATGAGTTGGGTTAAGTGCTGTGATGCCATTAGCACAGGCTGCTGACGTAGGCTAATTTTGATTTGCCATAATAATAATCAATGGCGGTTCAGACAGTTTGCCTAAAATCAAAGTGGTTTAAGCTCTTACACCAAACCAACTGGCTAAACTGAAAATCAACCCAATTCTTACTGATTATGGGTAAGTACCTCATACAGTCCCCCTCAGAAAATTGAACTGTTCCTTTAACTTCCCTTGGAAAATTTCCAGAAAATTTCCTGACCCTTTGCAACCCTAAATGTGCCACTTCTGAAGTGATCTAGAGTGAGACACTGTCTCCTGCAGCAGCAGGAACTGTGATGTGGGATCCTACTGCACTTCACACAGGAAGTGTAGCGTTAGCAGCACATTAGCAGAGCAGCAGCTTTAGTCCTCTGGCTGTGTCCGCACAGGATGCGTTCAGACACAGTATTATGTGTGGGCCACCCATGTTTTGGCAGCAGTGACTTCAGGGACAATCTTTGGATCATGTTTACTCACTTACAGGGTGAGTAAAATGGAAGTAAAACTCCATCAGAAATGATTTTGTGTTGCATGAGACTGATGTGTTCATGGTTATAGCCTTTTTCTCAGGAGGTAGCGCAGAGGCCTGCTACATGAATTAAACTGAACACTCTACATGAGTCATGAGTGGGCATCACTTGGCTGAGAATCATTGACTCATACTATTATAGTCGGTTTTAGAGTCCAACATCAGTTATCAGCTGCATTGTCACCTCAACCCTGAATATTAATTATTAGTGGCTGTTAAAACACCAAGCAGCACATGAAGGGTTAACAAGCCCCTGGTCAGGAGTGACAGTCTGATCCACAGAGAGTTCACCGTTCACCCTCAGAGAGAGGAGGGGTCGCTGTCTTTATTGATTTAAAGGCTTTGTTTGTGTGCTAACAGCCCCCTCCTCACCTCCTCCCCTCCTCACACTCATATGCATAACTTAATGACATAATGATTGGTCAGCCTCATGGGGAGATGACATCACCGTCAGCGTATCATGTGCCGTTTACTGGAACAGACAGTCGATGCTTGCAGTGCTGTGACAAGCACATATTTCATCTCTGAAAAGGAAAATAAATCTACACAATCCATGTGATTCAATGAGGAAAACACAAAAGACTTCATTATAGGATTTAATGAAGTCTTTTATTGTACTAAAGGTTATGGCTCAGAGCTTTCCCATAAAATTGTTTTAGTTACAGTTTTTAATTTTCTAGTCTGTAAAATAATGAAAACTGCTAATCATAATTTTCCAGTTATTTATTTATTTTTTTTTTTTACATTTTCTTTATTTTTTCAAGATACATAAACAATACATAACTATATCAGAATACAAACATACAGAGAAGAGAAATAAAAATAAAATTAAAATACATTAAAAAATTAAATAATGAAAATAAAATATATATATAAAATAATAATTAAAAAAATCTATAAAAACAAACAAATGAATAAAATGCTTCTCCCTACAGCAAGTGATCACCAGTCTCCAACTTCATCCCACCATACTGTTAACATAAAATAGACTTAAATTATTTATTTTGTCATATTAGCCAAACGATATTCAGTATACAGCGATATGAAACAGAAAGAGGCAGCAATTTCTTGGAAAATATGGAACCAGCATGCTTGACATTTTTTGCTTGATAAATTACTTTGAAATGTGAAATTATTATAGATCAACAGAGTGCTCTAGGGATTAGAGTTCTCAGTCTCAACCCGAGCCCAAAGGGTCCCAAGCCTGAAGAGTCGGACCAGGTTCTGGTCAAAAAATTGCGCTGATTGGCAGGGTCGGGTAGGGCTGGGGAATGATTTAACCCTAGTCATGTTTGTTTGCTTGTTTTTTGATAAGTAAGTCATGTTAAAAAGGGCAGGCGGGGAGAGAAGGAGAGGGAGCAACCGGGCTCAGTCCCAGGCTCTTTGTTTTTCCTCCCGGCTGGAGCAGGGAGCTTCTCTGGTGGGGAAATACAATGTGGAGAATCAGTGATCCACTGAGCTGGTGTATTTTCCACTAGAGACACATTGCTTGCACTGCAACACAGCCTGAGTGTCCCAGGCATCAGAAGCCGACTCATGCTTTTTAGGGGGGTCGGACTTGGTCGGCCTCTGGCTTAGTATTTTATATGATGATCTTGGACGGACCAGGTTTGGACTTAAACTCACATGAGTCTGTTTGGTTTGAGTTGTAATTTTTTCGGTCTATTGAGGGGGAGGATGTTTTTCTGTAGGCCAATGCGGAGATTAGTGTCGCACTGGTTCCCTCATCATAAACCAGTGGGGTTTATCCATTGGATTTTGGAATATTGCGGAAAATAAGCTCTGTTTATCTTATCTTGATCAACTAATAAATAAATTAACAAATCAAGATTCATTTCAGCTCTAGTTTGTAGTTTTGTGATTATTATCACCCAAAATATTTCAGTTTTACTGCAGCTTATTTCTAATTCAGGACATTTTCTATGTCATATTTTAAAAGACTTTGCTGGTTTTCTCTAGCTGTCAGAAAGATCCTTTGTTTTCTTGGTTTTATCTGTTTTATTGCGTTAGTTTTCCAACTGTCATTAAGAGTAGTGTGTCAGGCTTACAGTCTGTGAGGGCACTGCAGATGTAAATTAGTTCATTATGACTAAACTCTGCCACATTTGCCTCGTAATGAATGACACTTAATGCACTGCACTGCCCCATATGAATAGAATAAATCACAAATAATTACCAAATAGTTCTCATATGCAATTTTGTGCAGAGAAGTTGCAAATGACTCTGCTGCAGTCTGATCATCCAGTCTGTTTCTCTCTGTCTTCTGTGATCTATATCTACAGTATATCTGAATCTATTCCATCCCCCCACGTCTTACATTTCTGCTGTCTCTTTTTCATTCCCTCTTCTTGACTCTGAGCCCCTCCCCTCCTGTCGTCTCTCCTCCCTCTTGCAGTTTGTGCATGACTCTGCATGCACCTTCAGCAAACCCCCCCTTACAATGCTGAGGTGGGGCATTTCCAACATTTATATATATATAGAAGACAGTTTACCAGAACAGTGTATCAGCTTTATACTGTGCCCAAACTAAATATACAACTGCTGTCTGCTTACTAACACCACCATATTCAATTGAGAAACCAAAAGAGGTGTGGTTGTAAACAGAAAGCAGAAAGAGAAAGAAAACAATGAATATTTACTCTATATAATGTATTATAACATCCACTTTTATATTTAATTTACTGAGAGAAGACAAAACATTTTTGCTAAGTCTTCATTGCAACGAATCATTACAGATGTTTCTCAAATAGAAAAACACAGGTGGAAACCTTAAAGGTAACTGATGTTGCTCCTAGCAAGGCCACCAGATATTTGCATAGTATTCAATCAATGCCCAGCACTGATACAAAAGCCCTTTTTACACAGAGATCTTGCTATACCACTGCTATGAAGTCACTCCTTTATGGTGCCTTTGCATTTTTACACAGAACCAAAAAAATAGCAGCAGCAATAAAAATTGCACAACATGGCAATAACAAGCATTTATCTTTCCTGTTATATGGCGGCTGATCTTGTCCTCTGCTCAGAGGGTAAGGAGCTCCCGGACATCATTTTTTCAACAGTTTGCGCATATTTTCAGCTGTTGTACTTTGTGTTTGAGTTAGCTGCTAAATGCTGCTAGCTGCATTTTCAATCTCCCAGTAGTGGGTTGCACACATGACATGTCGTCAAAACACGACACCTGTCCCGTCCATGATCTCTTCCTGCCGGCTGTCCCTCTTACACTGATGTCGTTTCAGCACTGTTACTACCTCAACTGCTGGCTTAAAGATGAGACTACTCTGTCCCCCCCCTTCCACAATTATACCTTTTATTCAGAATGGCGAGTGACATAACGTGACATTCCCTCCTTGAAGAGGCAGTGTAAAGGGGACCAAAGAAGAAGGAGAAGACTGGTCCACTCTAAAAATGAGACGCAATACTGAATAGCTGTCTTGGAAAGTCTTAAAAAGCACTGAATTTAATTTAAATGAAAAAAGGGTCTTAAAAATTAATAAAATTCCTAATTTTACTGGTCAAAAATCCTAAATATGTTCTCTCGCCTGCGTAAATGAATTTAAATAAATATTTTCTCAAAAAGTTAATTCATCCATCCATTTTGTTTGCTTATACGGGTCCAGGTTGCATTAATTTGATCAATTAGATTGCTAGGGAATACAATTAAATAATTAGGTAATGTGATAAATGATTCTCGATCTTAGCGTCCCTCCTGGTTTTCCATTATACTTTATAACTTGACCAGTATGAACATGAAACTGGAGTTAAATTTCATTCTCTGAGGCATTAAATAGGTCTTAAATTACCATGAAATCTCTGAGTATCTGATATTAATACATGTATATGAATAATAGATACACACTGTGTAGTCACCAGATCTGACAGTATGTTAAATTGTCTACATGAAGATGGTATAAAAAAGGGAAGGACTGTATAGATCTTAGGCAAGGAGCCGTTTATTAAATGATGAATTCCTGAATCTAAATGCAGATTATAGTCTTCATTCAAGCTACACCCTACCCCCCAGAGGAAGGCATATATTTTGCTCTTTATAATTAATATGTTTGTTTTTTAATTAGTTTTTTCACTGATCAAAAATACTAAATAAGTACATCTTGGAATATAAGTAGATAAAATAAAAAGATGAAAAAATGAAGAGAGCATTCGATTATTTTGTTATTTCTTAACTACATGGAAAAAACATTGAGTTTGAACCAAAACGTATGTCAAGTATATTGTATTGTAATCTTCGCCTCCTTGTTTTATTGTTGTATTGTTGATTTATATGTATGTTTATGTCGTAAGTGTATGTTTTACAGGTCATTATGCCACATAAAGAAATATAGAAATGAGGTAGAAGAAGGTAGAAAGAGTAAAGGAGAGTGGAGACAAGGAATGCAAAAGGAAAAAGAACACTGGAGATAAAACCAGTGCAGCCAGTATCAGTATCCAATCCACCCAGTCTGTGTGTGTGTGCGTGTGTGTGTGTGTAGAGGCATGGTCCCCTGTGTGTATGTGTGTGTTCATGCATGTGTGTGGGGGTGGTGGCGGGTTGCATTTTGTCCCCTCCCGTCTGACTAAACTGCTCTTTGAAATAGATTTCAGAGAGGGAGGGAGATGGAGGTGGAGAGAGGTAGAGAGAAAGAAAGAGAGAGAGGGAGGGTGGGGTGAACAATTGCGAGTTGGGAGAGGGAGATAGGGAGGGAGTCAGTGTTACCTAGAGGGAGAGGCAGACAGAGAGGGAGCAGCGCTGCTGTATTATGTATCACTGAGTGTCAGAGGAGCCAGCGATCGAGTGCTGGTGACCGCCAGCTGAGGCAGAAACAGACGAGTGGGAACAGGACTCAGGGGCGAGGCTGCTGCATGCGGTAACCATGGCGCAGCCTTCTCCGTGCGCATCACCGAGCAGTCGTCGCCGTAGCGATGGCTCAGTGAGAGAATGTCTGTTCTTCCCTGTTTCTGAACGCAACGAGCAGGAGAGGCTGGAGGCCCTGGTCCGCCGGAGAGCCGGAGGTGCCGAGAGACGAGGAGGAGGTGTTGGAAATGGAGGGGGGGAGGCTCGGGACCACCTGGATAACAGGCCTAAACGCTGGACATGGGGAGGACCGCCTGATGGAGTGGAGGGTGAGTATGATTGGGGGGGGGGGGGGGGGGGGGGGGGGGGGGGGGGGGGGGGGGGGGGGGGGGGGGGGGGGGGGGGGGGGGGGGGGGGGGGGGGNGATGGAGAGATAGTGATGATGTCAGTGGAAGGTTGGTTTGAAATGTAGAAGAGGAGAGACCATACGGGCGGATACTGATGGGGGCTGGGAGGAGAGGAGACGAGAGGAGAGGTGTTTTGGGGGGGGGGTCTGGAGGTCGTGGAGGAAAGGAAGAGGGGGATGGTGGGATGAAAGGGTGGGGATGACAAAGCAGAGGAAGTGGGCTGTTGAGGAACAGCAAGTGAGATGAGGATAAAGAGAGGAAGGTGAAGTGATGGAGGTAAAGAAAGGAGAAGGGCAGTGGATGTAAAAGGGTGTGGAGGCTGCAATGCAGGAGCTGCTCCGCGCTTTGTCTCTAAACCTCACCAGGGTTACGAGAGGCTGTGTGTGTGTTTACCATCTGTGTCTAGAGATTATCAGTATGAAATCAGATGTGCTGAAGCTGTGGTTTTAAACAGGCATGAGCTGCTGATTTTGGCCTGTAAACGTGCTACAGGTGTGTGTTTGTACGTGTGTGTTATTGCTCTGTTGTTTTATTTCCGAGCTGGGAGGCAGCTCCAATTCCCAGAAGAGTTACACATCTAACCTTGAATGCACCAAGGCCACTGACATAAACATAGACAAAGTGCGACATGAGGCCGTTTACTGTGCCAACATCCATCTCTTAGTTTATCTTTTTTCTTTCGTATCACATAATCCTCGTCCTTTCCGAAATATCTCTACCAGCGGGAGGGAGGCCAGAGCACCACCAGCTAGGCTCTACATCCTGCAGTGCATTCATAACGCCATCAATTATTCACAGCCCAGCCGTTCTGGCACTGACCTGGGATCAGGGTCCACCCAGCAGCTTGTCTGGCTCCGGCCCGGCTGACTGGCAGAGAGGCTGCTCTGGGATCCGTTGGGCCCAGTAAAACGCTCACTGCAGCAGAAACAGCAGCATCTCATCTTACAGCTCCACTCGATTAAAGGACAGAGACTCACTAAAGTGTGTGTATGTGTGTATGTGCTGCACATTTTTCTCTGGTCCCAAGTTAGACCACTTAAAAATCTGATTATAACTCAGTTTATTTTGATGTTTAATCCATCGTGGCGGCATTCATAGTCATACGTCACAAGTGACTCATTTATGTTCACATGCTTTATGTTATGGAAAATTGAAAGAAATATGGAGGCAGTTGATTGGCCAACAATAAGCTCCTGGCTATAAATCAACCAGCTATAACAGGATACTTCCGCATGTTAATAATGCAAACAGGAAACATGATATGATGCCATACATTGTTCAAACTGCAGAACTTTATTTAAAATTCTAGTGAAGAGCCAAAATCTGTCAGGATAAACTTTGGGGGAGATGTTTTTGAAATTATTATAAAAATACTGAGAATATTTAATGTATCCTCATAAAAAACATTTATATGATATCTAACAAATTAGCACTGGTACCCAAGAAAAGAGAGAAACTTGGTTGGGCGTCATCATCTTACATACTTAATGTAAAGTTATGTAGGTTAGGTTCAGCAGGAAAGTCCTGTGTTTGTTTGACCCACCCACCACCCCAACCTGTTTATTTATGTGGACTTTCACTCTACTACTTTCTTCTCAGCAACACATTCACATTCATCACTGACCGCAGCCTTCATGATAATGTGGGTTACATACAAATTAATGGCTTATGATAACGTTGGCTATGTGCAAAGTTGGTGCATTACTTTTTTATAGGTATACATACAAACAGTGCATGAAAACAGCCTGGAATATTTGTATTTGATAGAATGGTACAGCCATTGAAAAGTGGCATATTTCACTCGGCTTCAACATGATATTGCTAAAACAGGCTGATCCTGAATATATACGATCAGTCAGGACAGTGTGGAGTAAGATTAATCTTCCAAAGGGGAAATAAAGGTATAAAACAGGATGTTTTTAAGGGTTATATTATACATTTAAGTGGGGTCATGTTTTTTAAACCTTTGAATTCATGAGTTGTGATTTATATGGAGCCCATAGAAATCACTTTTTAAAACATTTTGTTACTGTAAATGTTTAAATAGTTTCCTCAACTGCAAAGAGAACCAAGTCTGCGTTTGAAAAAGACTCACTTGGTCCAATGTCAGCCACACTAGCAGGGTGTCAGTTGGTTGACCAATTTGGTCCAGACTGAAACATCTTAGTAGCTGCTGAATGAATTTCCATAACATTGTGTGACATTCATGGCTCCCTTAGGATGCATGAATTATAATGATTTTGGTATCCCTAGGACTTTTCCTTTAGTGCCATCATGAAGTTGACATTTATGGTTCAGAGAAAAATGTCTCTACAACTACTTGTTGCAGTTTAGTGCAGATATTCATGGTCTTTGCGGAGCCCTGACCTTTCATCTAGCCCCATCTTGTTATTGTCTGTCACCTGGCAAAAGTCTTCTCACAACCTAAGGCCATGCTTCATGTATACAGATAATTTTGAAAATGGATATTAAAAAAAGTGTGCCCATGACTTTTTTTTTTTTTTTTTTTTTTTACAAAATATCACACTATAACACAAAAAATTACCCTGGACACTCACCGGGCCAGTTGGTGGTAATAAAGGCTGAGGCAACGAAAAGTTAAATACCCGAGAAGAATGTAGGACCAGACTTGATCCAAAACTGTTGTTTCTGCCGAAATTTAAACCTTGGACAGTGAGGTGGACCACATAACGCTGGGCGCAGCAAACGCCTCCGTTCATCCCTGAAGTGGGGTAGCAGTTAGGGGTGGGAACCACCAGAGGCCCATGATTCAATGTTATCACGATACCTAAGTAATTTCAATATTATTGCGTTTGAAAATATTTTGTAAAATGCTGAGCATTGTGATAACATATATTGTGATTATTTATCCTTCTTTATCTGCAAATTTTGTGCCCAAAGGAAAACTTTGTAAACATCTGTTATTATTTAATAAGGTTTGGTTTTTGGTTTGTTCATCTCTCTTCATTCATTTTTATCACCACAAAATGCCTCTGATGGACACAAGAATCGATTGATTTTATTAATCTAGTCGAAACTTTAATTTGTTTTTACAATAATAATTTACTTAAAAATTTTGATACTTGGCTTCTGTTATAAATACAAAATTGCCACGCAAAGAATTGCAATTTCGCGACTGGGTCCATTGGCATCATGTGAAGGACCTTGAAGTTGCAGTTACATGGTTTTGCCACTCTGTCAAATTGGCTTCAAAGTTTGGCACACTTTTGTGGGCATGGTTTAGATGAAGAGGAGTCATTAGACCAGACATTGCCACAAAATGTAAACAAACCCGTAGTGTGTTACACAAAACAACAATGGGCATGTGCGAGCTGAGGAAATGATGTCGTTGTTTTGCAAACGCTCTATTTGACATGTTCACATGGATAAACAGTTTTGAAAAATCTGCAATTTATGAGGCATTTTTAAAAACCTCTGATTTAGTGACCTAAAACTGTTTGTGTGTAGATGAGGGACCAAAACATGGAATGAAATATCCATTTAAAAAATATCTGTGTATGTGTTGACAGGTTGTTTATGACTTCAGTACCAAGCATGTTGTGCAGACCTCTGATTACTGAAACATGACCGCACAAGTTCCTTTTGAAGGCAACTTTGTTTTACCCGTTGTTTTGCTCTGCTCCACTATGAGGGTTAGGGACACTCAGGTGGCATCTACAGTCCTATCTCGTCTGACTTGATGATGATTCGGCATAACAAGGTTTTGATGTGTGACTTCCTCCTGGGAATCTTGGACAGAGCTTATTGTGTTTCAGATGTTACTGTTTATGTTAGTGTGTGTGTTGTTACCTGTTTGTGTGTCTTGTGTTAGTGATGCAGGAGTATGAGTGGGTGTGTGAGTGAGTGTGTAACGCTTTGCTTTCTCCGCTGTGCTTCACCTGCTGCCCAGGTAACCCTAAGACCCCGCCCTGCAATGCCATTGGCTCTGCTCAGCCCAATGAGCTTCCTGCTGCTTCCAGCACCAGCCAATCCCGTAACGGTACAGACAACATGACTCTGTGTGCCACGCTTATACCGCTCCCCTGCCTCACTCCCACCACAAATCCCATTGTGCCACCTACAGCTGCTCCTCTGTCTGCATGTGTGTGGACGTCTTTGTATCGTCACAGCAGCTTTTTATTGTCCTGAAGTGTGTTCATGTCGTGTGTGTCTGGTGATCAATTCATTGCAGTGTTTTTTTTACTCAAAATATATTTACTCTGTGAGTAAATAACAAAACATGCTCACATACACACTTCACAGCATCTTTGCATAGAAATGCAGCTAAAGGGTTTCTGGGTAAGTTCAGACAGGCCCCTGCTCAAAATCTGGAGTATAAATCGTTTCTGTCTGCAGTCCTTTGAGTCACACAAATGCAGAGATATCCAGCAGCATTTGGGTTGGGCCGACCCTCAACATGGAGCTGGGAAGAAAACATCAGATGGTGAAAACACGCAGATGATTTAATTTATTTAACAGTGTTTTCTTTGTTACTTTACAGTCTAGTCTGCTAAATGTGACTTGCAGACACATAAAATCTGGAGATGTATTGTTCTTTAATAAGATCAAATAATGACGCTGCAAAACAAGAAAAACCCATGATAAGATAAGGGCTCAGCTCTCCCAAAATGCGCTTTTATCACTAAACACTAGCTATATGTGTGAAGTTTACAATAATAAAAAACTCTTCAACTCAACCTCAATCTTCAACCTCATCAATACAAAAGAGAAATTAAGGTGGTTAAATCCAAAGGTCAGGGCAGACAAAAATGAAAAATAAGTAAAGTCCTGCCTTTTTTTCCCCTTCAAACTAACAAATTCAGAGATTCAAGGATTTATCATTGTCATCAGAGGATTTACAAAGAAATCCCCCTCCATGATCCACACAGGAAATTTGGAAGTAGATATCCACATTAATTTAAATGAGAATAGAATAGAATAGAAACAATAAAAAAACTAATATAACTATGTAAAAATAGTACAAAAGGAAGGAATTAAAAGGAAAACGAAAATACATTTCCAAGAATATAATTACATATACAGTGTTATAATAAATAGAAAACTTTGGTCATATGTGGTTTTAGAATTTTGTTACATGACCTCCAACACTGACTGTATGTTTACACACTGTATCTGTGTATTTGTGCATTTGTGTGTATGTAACAGAGCAAAAAAACATTTGTGCCATACAGGAGTGAAGTCTCCCCCCTTCTGGTGTCCCTAGAACTTTATTTTGGATAAATATGTACATTAGTCAATGGCGAGAGACAAATAATTTTTAGATCCTGTGTCAGTTCTGCCCTGAATTACACATATAATGTTTGTCACTCTAAAAGATAATTTTGCAAATCCAGGTAGTCACAGTTTGTTGTAGGTTTGTCGATGTGTAAAACCACTCAGTGCACTACATGTCTTGTCTTGCACGATATACGTCACCTACACCGGCTAGCTAGTTAGCTAAAAATGTGTGAGTACATCCCTGTGCGAAACACACAGGCATCGTAACTTCAGGGAGAAATAAAGTTATGATGTCATTTACACGACTTGTGTCGTCTTTCTAATTACCTAATTACACAGTCTTGTACTTTAACTCAGTGGTTCCCAACTGGTGGGTCACAGTCCAAAAGTGGGTCTCCGGCCCATTGTCACTGAAAGTGACTCGCAATCGTATCAAATTTGTAAAAAAACACACTTCATTTTTATGTACGGTAAATATCCAGCACAGAGCTTTTTTTGAAGAGCTGTTTTCTGCTGTAGAGTGAGCGACTAATGGACACTTACTTGAGAGAGACAGCAAACTGGCTTAATGTCATGGCCAAACGCAAGTATGATGCTGAATGTATTAAACTGTGGGACCTTGAACTAATGACTCAGGAGAAATCTCGACCCTGTGGTTAGGAACCACTAGCCTGGAAATCCAGACCCAAATCTAGAAAGATTTAGGGACTGGCCATGAGTAATGAAAATGGCCCAACTCGAGGGGCGGCACCAAGCATGCATTTGTAAATATCACTGCACGCAATTGGATAACACTACGACCAATCAGAACAATACACAGGGTGACGTATACGCTTAGCTACCAGCGGAGCTAACTGGTAGATTAGACTCTTGCCGTATCCGGTTGACAAAACAGCAAAAACGTCCTTCTTGCAAAGGAAAGGCTTGAGCGTCGTCTTCTGTTCCTCTTTTAGAGAAAAAACCAAGTTTAACTCATTCATTGTAGCGGCCAAAGCCATTTCAAACAACTGGTGTTCATCTGTAGCCATCTTGCAATGTTTACTTACTCATTCCGGACTTCGTTGTCGCAGCGCTGTCGTCATCTGTTTAGCTCACCTCTGGCCCGCCTATATCAGATACACCGATGTGATTGGTGCAGCTCAGCTCCAAGGGCATAGGTAATGAGCATCATTACTGATTGCCAGAGTGATTCACTGAGCAAATTCAAATTGTGCTCTCGCGAGAACTCTGGATTTCCAGGGTAGGGAACCACTGCTTTAACTGTTTTAAGACAAAGTGTGACTTTTGTGACCTGCCAAATAATGTTGTACAATTGACAAATATCAAATTCAAACAGGGTCACAATTTTTTTGTCTCTCTCCATCAGCTACCGTACATATTTTTTCAGGAATTACGTCCCATGGTGGTCCACCCAAAGGGGAGGGACTTTGCCTTTCTATTGTTCATCATTTCCATCAACAGTTCACAGCACATACAGTATTTCCACTCCTCCTCTGTGGCTAATGAGTGTCTGGTTTGGAGCCCCCACCACACCCACACACACACACACACACACGCCCTTATCACAACAAAGGGCTGCTCCACTTCCTGTCCTCCTGGCCCACGGCCGTGTTTAGTGATGCATACATATCAACCTCAGCAGGGAGTCCAGTCTATATAAAACACCCTCACACACACACACACACACACACACACACACACACATCATACCAGACATTTACCCTGCAGCTATCTGTGAAACTTATTAGACCCCACCTACGCACAGACAGAGATCAGATCAAAACACACACACCCAAACACACCCACACATCCACCAGACATTTCCAATCATCCCTGTCCCATATAACAGAAGCAGCCCCTGCAGAAATCCCTTTTTTTTTTGCACTTTTGCTGAACTGCTGCACTGTTGCTTTAAACCCGCAAGGAATTTAACCGAAATTTGCTCTTTTACTCTATTTCT